ATCAGCCAACATCATTCCATACCCTTTAGGGATGACACACACAGATCTTCTTGATTCTCAACAGTACCAAGTGCTGCCCTCCTTATGTTATGCTGGTTTCTGACACCTGCTCATTCGCTCTTATCTGACTGCAAAAGTATGTGCAATCTCATTCCATTTTCTAGCAGTTGCAATCCTTTGCAAATGGTGCCATTCCACTAATTCCAGACTACACACAATGCACCCAATCTAATTTTAATGTTACACTTTGGATTTTCAAACACAAATGTGTTTTTACTGTGGGTATCACAATCTAACGTCAAACAGGAAAAAAAATAGAGGGTGGGGGAATTAAAGGAGAACTATGGGGTTAAGGCTTTTCCCCTTAGTTCTCCTTAGGGTAACGGGATGACACAAACTAGCGGCCTCCCGTCACCCTAAGCTCAGTATCCTGTGAGCTGTAGCTCGCGGTATACTGAGACGCCGCAGTATACCTCGAGCTGCTGCCCGCGGTATACTGAGACGCTGAAGCGGATCCCGACAATTATGTCTGGATCCGCCCAGCTGCGTGACTGACAGCTGGCTCTGCCTATCTGGAGGCAGAGCCAGCTGTACCCGCCCCCTCCCCCTCCGTTCAACCAGTCAGCGCTGGCGGATCGGAGCTGGGAGGGGGGAATCCAGCCCCTCCCCTGTCACGGCAGAGAGTCGTGACAGGATCGAGAGGTGATCGAACACCGGTATGTGTTCGCTCACCTCCCGATCTACTGAGCCGACCTGTGACAGTTTCATTGTCACAGGTCGGCTAGAACTATGAGGTGAGTGAAAGGAACTCACCTCATAGTTCTCCTTTAAACTGAAATAATGACTGGCCTGTGTTTGGACATCTTAAAGGAGAACTATGGGGTCAGTGCTTTTCCCCATAGTTCTCTTAAGGGTCGCGGTATACTGAGACCGCCACAGCTGGGACAGATCCCGACATTACTGTCGAGATCCACCCAGCTGCGTGAGCCAGCTGTACCCGCCCCCTCCCCCGTCCGTTCTGCCACTCAGCGCTGGATGATCGGAGCGGGGAAGGGGGGGGAATCCCTGCAGGGAGCTGTGAAGGACCATCTCTGCAGGGAGATGATCGAGAAGTGAGCGAGCGACGGTATGTGTTTGCTCACCTCCCGATCTATTGAGCCGACGTATGACAGTTTCATTGTCACACGTCGGCTCGAACTATGAGCTGAAAATCACTGAAAATTTGCTTATAATGGGCTTTCAGGTGCGTTCCAGTGCGTTTGTATATGTTTTTCCATGTGTTTTTTCTGGACTTCGGGCTCTGCCCAGCTGCGTGAGTGACAGCTGGCTCTGCCTATCTAGAGACAGACCTAGCTGGACCCGCCCCCTCCCCGTCCGTTCTGCCAGTCAGCGCTGGCAGATCGGAGCGGGGAGAGGGGAATCCCTCCCCCTGTCACGGCTCTCTGCCGTATGTGTTCGCTCACCTCCCGATCTACTGAGCCGACCTGTGACAGTCTCATTGTCACAGGTCAGCTAGAACTATGAGGTGAGTGGAAATCACTCATCTCATAGTTCTCCTTTAAGCTGCTATGCCTCTTGGCATGGATATGCGCTGCTTTATCTTTCACGTATGTGAGTGGATCACTTTTTTTTAATTTATCATTAATTGCACCTTTTAATGTACAGGGTCTTTGTGCTCTTGTTTGCTTTTATCTTTATCTAAGTGCCTAGGTAGTATTCAAAAGGTGTCAGGAGCACACACAAACTGAGCCCAATAGATAGCATAGCATCTGAAAACATACATACATTGATAAATGCATTAGTCATTCTTTAACAGACATATCTTTCTTTGAGTCAAGATATTTGGCCCCACGTGTCAAAATGGCTACAGAGATGCCACAACAGCCAGGTGAGCTAAAGGGATTATCTGACTTTTAGCCTTTAATGCAATTTAATGAGTGCCATCAGCATGCTGTTACTAAACTTACACCCTGCTCATATACTATTGTATGTAATTTGTACTTGTCAAACGGCATGCCATTTGTCTAAAGCTGATCATTTCCTAGTTGTGTTTAGTGCTCTTAATAACTTCCTGTTTTGCTGTTAAGTACCATAAATACAGCTTTCTGCAAATTACATTTAATTCAGCTGTACAACAAGAAGTCAAATTTGCACAGAAAGACGGATCGCATTCATTTTTATAATTATTCGTCTCTTACTCCAATATATTGCTAAATACAATCGTCAACATCTAGAAATGTGTGTGTAATTACCGGTTCATCAACAATAGAAATTTCTCATAACTTTAGGCACACACAGCTCTGGGCTTAGGATCCGGTCGCACTTGGAGAACTCCCCACACCCTTTAATAAAAAAATCGGTATACATAATTATGTCCTTGTGACTTTGGTACAGTCCAATTACATCAAAGGTCCTCTTTGCCCAATTCTTCCTCCAGCGGTGGGCAGATCCTGAGTGCTGCAATGAGTGGCCGGAAAATACTGTTTCTGCACCATTCTCCTGTGGGTCAATGGCAGAGGATAGAGCCTTGCCTTCCTGGGCTCACAGGAAGTGGTTTGAATAATGTTAGGCATCTTTCCTCCTGGAAGAGCAGTGGGCAGAGCTGCTTTTTTAATCATATAAGCTGACGGGGATGGTTTCTAATGCATTTTGGCCAAGGTAGAATTTACCATGTACCTTGTTTAGCCTTAAACATCAACACATTCCAGATGTCAACATTCTGGCTCAATAATCGCCTTAGCAAAGTGGGCCTTATATCCCAAATGAGATTATTTTTGTTATTATTACTTTGGCAGATACGGCCTTGGTGTCTTAACTCATTATTTATAAAGCAGTGAATATGACAATCGCCAAACATTGACTGTAGGTCAATCTTTTATAGGTATATGTTTTTTAAATGACGGTGACTGATTCACCACCAGTGTTTGGTGCATTCACATTCACTGATTTATGAATATGCTGTTAAATATGCATCATTACTCATAAGACCAGGTTCAGATTTATACTTCCTGTTCAAAAAGGCCAAGCTATATTGCCACCCCCTCTTCTACCTCGGCCACTTACTGGCCTTATTATGACACTAATAAGATCATATTGCATAGCTACAGAAAGCAGGGGACAGAGGCTCAAAAAGACTGGTCATTGCGCACCAGTACACCTACAGCAAATGACTAGCAGTTCTAGGTGCATAGACCTCAGGGAAAGGAAGTACAGAGTAAGCTATTTCACCCACTAAACAACACAAACTAGCAGCAAGGACCCACATCACTGCATTGATTGGGACAGCAGTAGACAAACTCTGGCTACACACAGTCAGCAACATGATGTGTAGCTATGTGGCAGACCTAACATGCTGGGATGTTGTGCAGAGAACCATCTCTGATAGTGATATATGTATTACATGCATGTAACTTGAGCAATGTATACTCAAAAATGCCCAATTGTATTAAAAAATACATTGGGGGGGAATTTATCAAAAATGGAGCAGATCAGCTTCTCTCTTTCATTTTAAAATCTTACCTGAGCAAACTGAAGATAGATGCTGATTGGTTGCCATGGGCAACTGCTTCAGATTCAGTTTTCTCCAGTTTTTATAAATCCCCCCCCCAATGTATATATGAATATCTTCTCCATAATGGATTCATTAGTAGGAGCATTCTAAAGTTAAAGATACACAGAAGACTATAGGAAATGTAGCAACTGGTGACAGAACTCCTCGATCCTTGGCCTTATATATTTTAACCAGTTGACATCCGCGGTGTTAAACCCCCTTCCCATAGAAAATAAACTTATACTAAAATGTAAGGAAAAATATATGAAGCTTTTCTGTAACCCAAGTGCTACTACTGTTTATGTCATCTTTTCTCCTCATCTTTTCTTCTTACCTGAAGATTTGGCCTACTGTGGCCCACAACAACTACTGCAGCAGCCAGTGCACGCTTACTTAGAGTACTTATGTCTCATACTTGGACAGGGCGGGCCACCTTGCTGTGCCAGCACTAGTGTATTACACAGGAAATTCCTGAGCGTTCTATACAATTTTTTTTTTTTTATTGCTTCTTCTCAGCAAGTTCCCATCCAGAATATCCAAAACAAATACCATTCATCTGAATAAGAGGAAGTTATTTATCACAAACATCTTAGGCATGGAACAGAATCGTGTTGTGCTCCCCTGAGGGAGAATTCAGTGACGGGTAGTACTAGTCTGAGGCACTCGTAGCATGATATGATGATGTAAGAATGCAGCAGTGTGATTGTTTTTGGTATGGGTGAATAATTACATGCTACTCACTGGTAATTACACCTGTTCAAAAAAAAAAAAAAGAAACCTCAAAAGACAAGCAAGGCATTAGACCTATATTTCAACAGACAAAAGAAGATAACCAAATGCGTTATAGCTGTACAGACTGTCCATATACAGAACAACTTTTTATATATGTATGAATTTGCCTTTAAACCCTTGTTAGATTTATAACCCTGCCAACAACTAACACAGCGGGCAACAATTTTTGATGCCAAGAGACAGAATCAGATTTATTTAAAGATTGGTTTTTGACACTTTTTCTCCCTGACCCCAACCCTTGTCATAAATACTGGTCCATCACCCAGGGCTGTTTTCTCTTATTTCTACACGTTTGGATCATACTAAGGAAGGAAAGGAATACAAGAGAAATCAAGGCAGAAGGAAAATGGAAGGGACTGGAATATTTTTTTAAAGTTATATTAAACCTTTGCATTTATTTATTTTTTAAGCAGAGGAGGTCCATGCTTACATTATCCGATTCTTCCTCTTAAAAATGGTCTCTTTCTTTCTCCCGTAGCTCCGCCCAAAGCACTGCCCCCCCCCACACCCCAACCTGTTTGCGGGCATCTCCTTCAACTAGCTGGCTGCTGAGGAGACACCCGTGTGTGTATGTTCCAGGCTGTGAACCCGCGTCTAGCTGTGCGCATCCACAGACAAAGATAGCGCCCGGCATTTTTCATCGTCCTAGACTTCAGCTTTAAATAAGCACTGGCTTGTGCTTTTGAACTGTACATCTGTATAAAGTGTCAAGTTTTAGAATTTACATGTAAAATGTGGTAAAATGCAATGGTGCATTTTAGGAAACCTTCAAACATTTGAAAGATAGTATCTACAGTAACCTGGATGTTAATAAATTTGGACAAGGACAAGCCTTGCAGTCTTTGTCTTTCCCAAGAATTCTATTAAACTGTTATATTTCCACAGTATGAACCATTCTGGTTACATACAGTTTACTCATCCTTTCCATATACTCTGTGATGCTCCGTGACTAATAATAGTTGTGCAGAACATATATCGTAACACTAAACTCCAGCTGCTAAACACATTAGAAGAACTTTTTCCAAGGGTATATTCGTCTACTGCTGTGAAACGTAAGTAAACATTGGCAAGTATTGTTCTGAGAAGGAACACTATTTGGGGTTTCCTAATATTCCTTTTTAGAATTTCTTTAAATTCCAGCATTTCAGTCGAAAAAAAAAAAAAAATATACCAAGGATTAAGAGTGAACACCAAAAGAAATGATCTACTTTGGCAAGATAAAAATCTATCTTATTATGTAATTAGAAAGCCATTACACGTAAGGCCTTTCCAACCAATTCAGTGTTGTACAATGGTCTTGTTATTAGTTAACACTTGTGCTACGGTATCTGTAGAGCTCATAAATTTGAAAGACAAAGTTTGTGAACCCGTGGGAATTTTCTGTATGTATGTGTATGTCCTAAAGTGTTTGCATCAGATCTTCACCTTAGGCATAATAATAATTACAGTCTTAATGTACAGACTATAGGCACCTTTACCATGCAACTTTACTAACCACACATTTTAAACAATGATGGTTTTTGCTGGAAAAAAATATGTGAAGCTCTAGGATAATGATACGATAAGAAGAGGGTATTGCAATCAGTGGGAGTATCCCTACCCTAAAAAAAAAAAAAGAAAAAAAGCACAAGATGTGATAGAGAACCCTTGGGAAGCAAGAAAAGGAGCTTCAGGAATCTCTTGAGTTTGTTTCATGGTGTTCTGTTCGTGGAAGACGAATGAATGGCTTAGGGTCCAATAAAACCAGCTGGATGTTCCACCCTGTTTCTACAATAATGATCAATCAACGAAACGAAAGTTGAACTCAACTCTGTACTAGAAAGGTGCAACACTATTTTTTAAGTAAATTACCCAAAACAAACACCACAAACTGATCATGCCAACAATGAAGCATCATGAACATCTTGTTTTGAGGCTGCTTTGCTGCCTCATGACCTGGACAGTTTGTGATCATAGAAAGAACATTTTATTCAAAATTGTATAGTGAAATTTAGCTGCAACATGTCAGTGTAGCTGTACAGCAACTAAAGTTTGGAAGGAAGTTAGAGATTAAGCAAGACAATACTCTGAAACACAGGAGAAAATCAACAAAGGAAAAGTCTTAAAACGTTAGCATCTCGGAATGGCCCAGAAACCAGATCTCAACCCATTCAAGGTAATGTGGCTTGAACTGAATACAAATGTTCACACAAAGATTGCCAAAAATATCAACATGCTAAAAAGTGGTCTGACATTCCACCTAAACATTGAGCATGCCAGATCAGCACTAAAGGACATGTGTCGTTAGAGGATATTGCTGCTATAGAAGGTTTTACCAGTTACTTAAGGTAAGTGGTTTATTCTTGCCTAGACTGTTAAGGTTTTAAAAATGTGTTCAAAAAAGACATTAAACTAATAGTACACAAACAGCTCTATTCTTTCAAGTGACACTAAACTCAGGAGTTATATCTTGAAAATGCATTCAGATACCAAAACTTTTAACAAAAACTGTATCTTATTTGTGTATCAATTCATGCTGACACTGTCCTTCCTTCTGGAGGCTGGCTACTTTTGTTCTCCATGGTCTCTGCGTGTGTTGTAAATTAGTCACCGCTCCAAGCGCACTCCTGTAATGGACTACAATCTCATGTTTAGTTATCTCATTTGTATTGAGATTGTAGTCCATTACAGGAGTGCGCTTGGAGCGGTGACTAATTTACAACCCACACAGGGAGCATGGAGAACAAAAGTAGCCACCCTCCAGAAGGAAGGACCGTGTCAGCATGAATTCAGAGATGATTTGAGGATCTACAGCTGAGTGATACACAATTAAGATACAGTTTTGTTAATAGTTAATATACTTGAATGGATTTTTAAGATGTAACTCCTGAGTTTAGTGTCACTTTAAGCAAACTAGGTTCTCAACTATTGTGACTTAGTTGAATACCATGCTACATCTAAAGAGCCGATATTGCCAGCACCCAGGTAATTTCAACTTGCGATTGTAGATATGCATTATTGAGTATATCTGTACTATATCTAAAAAAAAAAGACTGTTTGGCAGTAATGTCGGTCTGCTGCGTATAATCACACTATCTAAAGCCAGCTTTTCCAATAGTGGTTTTCTAGGACTGAAGGGAGAAATCTGATATAACAAAAGCAGAGAAGACTAAGTACAGAAGAGCCTATGCAGATTTTCAGTTTAGAAAACAGTGAAACCAAAAATGATGGAAAGTAAAAAACACAAAAAGAGAACTGCAAAGCATTATACCTTCAAAGTATAATACACAGCTACCACTGTTAGGCTTAGGGTAAAAAATTACTCAGCTCATTGCCATATGAATTTGTGTACAACAACAGCAGTTTTAGAATGTTCAGCAATAGAAATCTACCAGCCTGACATTAAAGCATATCTACGTGTAAATCCAAAAACAAAAATCTAATATATAGCAGCGTACCTGTCTTTATATGCAGGCTGCATTAGTTTTCATTTTCAGAATGCAGCAAGTACAGAAAATACCTGTAAATCTTGCAAGCTTTTATTTTTGAGTAACCAAACCAACCTAATTTTCACTTGTTCATTACTGCCACATAACCACTCCAGCCCTAATCATATTAGCAAAAAAAAAGATTGTATATGTAAATAGCATTTTGAGTCATACATATTCTCTCATGTGCAGACGCAACTGTATTTTCTAGGGACAAAAACTGCCAAGCTGGTCCTTATGCAGCATGCAGAAGCCAACCTATCGGTCTGTCTGTCAGATTGATCCAGCCAAGGACAAAACACAAGCTGGAAGCCGAAAATTATAGATGTGAGTGTTAATTTATGGCAACCCACAATGACAGAACTGCTGCTTACAAGGAAATTGATAGCCCTGTCATATGTTTAAATCCACAAAAAGGCCTTGGAAACTGACATCTCATTTACTTTTTTTCCCCTTTTAGCACTAGTGTACCAGATTTAATTACACACGGTCTGTTTTACTGCACTATGTCTAGTACCTCGGAGTAGTAAATAATGGAAAACATTTTCTAACAAACAGTCTACAAAAATCTACTGCGAACCATGTTGTATGTATGTTCTGACACCATATTTTGGCTTTCTCTTAAGACTGTTTATAGTATTTCACTACAGGCTTTTAAGTCATCTCTGAAAAATGTGGAATTTGATCATCCAAGGCTACAACAGACACTAAAACTGTGATTTAATGCTGAACTCCAGGAAACCAGCTGAATATACAATTGAGATACATACACCTATCAGCCATAACATTATTACCATCCGCCTAATATTGAGTAGATCCTGCTTTTGCTGCCAAGGCAGCCCTGGGGCTTGGACTCTACTAGATATCTAAAGGCATGCTGTGGTATCTGGACCAAGCAGTCAGTAGCAGATCCTTTAAGTCCAGTTGCAAGGAGGGGCCTTCATGGTTTGGACTTGTTTGTCCAGCACATCCCACAGATGCTTGATTGGATTGAGATCTGGAGAATTTGGAAGCCAATAAACACCTCAAACTCATTGTTGTGTTCTTCAAACCATTCTCAAAACATTTTTGCAGTTTGGCAGGGTGCATTATCCTGCTGAAAGAAGCCACTGCCATTAGGGAATACCCTTTTCATGAATGGGTGTACTTGATCAGCAACACTGTTTAGTTAAGTGGTACATGTTAAAGTAACATTCACAATAATGGCAGGACCCGAGGTTTCCAGCAGAACATTGCCAAAAGAATCACACTGCCTTCACTGGCTTGCCTTCTTCTCATAGTGCCATCTCTTCCCCATGTAAGCAACGAACACGCACCCAGCCATCCACATGATGTGATTCATCAGACCAGGCCACCTTCTTCCATTACTTAATGGTCCAGTTCTGATGCTCACATGACCATTGTATGCTCTTTTGGGGGTGGATAGTGGTCAACATGGGCACCTTTACCGGTCTGCGGTAAGAGTGTGGTGCACTAGGGACAAATCCTGAGCACTATATACGTGTGATTCCACATTTGTGTATATTTGAACATGTAATATAAGATTGAACTTTTCCTAGGATTACTATTTATGAGAAGATTCATTGTGAACACTTTTTTGATTGCATTGTTACCTAGAAACCCATGGCAGACACTGCAACCAAGGAGGTGAACTCTCTTTCCCCTGGTTAAGTTAAGGAATAGCACTTGGTGACCTACCCATCCAAGCCTGCTGATTATATAATAAAGGAACAGTGCCACATTGAAGAGGTCACTCCTGTGCTCTTTGCTTCTATGACAAAAAATAATCTTTAAAGGTGGATCTGCATTGTTATCAAATGCATTTGTCTTACCTGTCATCAATCTTTGGGCTTCATAGGGTTCCATGTAGCCATTGTTTTCAGTTATGACACCTTTTTTCTTCTGTTCGTTTTTAGCATCGAAGGGATCAGAGTAGTCATCAGCAATCACAACCTGAAAGAAAAAAAATAGTACTTATTATATAATGTTTACTAATGAGTTACAGAAACTGTGTTAGAACAACTGCACACCTAGGGACTCCAAAAGTATTGCTGCTGCAATCAGAAAAAAAAAATCCAAAAGGATAGCATAAAAATATGAGAGTTTCTAATTTGACTTGTTTTTTTTAAGTGCATGTTATGGGGCTGTCATCCTTATCCTCACCAACCACATGCTACTTCCAGCACAGTAAACAGCTGCAATGAAGATTGAATGAGAGAAAGCCCAGGAGCAGAACCTTCAAAAATTTAAATCCAGCAATAAAACAATATTCTGATATATTCACACTAATAAAAGAAGATTAAAGGCCAACTAACTTTAATGGTTTTGGGTCAATTTTAGTTTACTTTTTTAAACTACTTCTTCCACTCTCCATATATGCAATCTTTGTTTTATGAAGAAAAAAAAAAAGAATTCAACAATACATCTCTAACTGAAACCTCAGAAGAAGAAAAGGGATATGTTACATATAAAACAGAAGAAAACACTGTAAAAACAGCACCGCTGTCTGGAAAATAAAAAAGATTTATATGCAGTATTTCCTTTTTCCTGGATTGAAAAATAAATTAAATAAGTCCTGATCAAAACAAAGAAACAATGTAAAAACTGCCATACATGATCAGGGCTATATAGGGCTGATGTAAACAGGCATTTGCATGCATCAGAACCATACAAGTCAATGTGAGTCTAAAGGCAGCACTGATTGGAGAGCTCAGAAGGAAGTCAGAAGCAGCTTAGAAGGAACTCAGAAGCATCTGAAAAGGTGAAAGTAGGTATGCTGTGTTGGTCTTACTACAAGCTACTAAACTACACAAGACCTAAAAGCGACTTAGAGCTTTCATGGGGAAACAATCTGTCTCTTTGATGGCCTGACAGACCCATATATTAAACAATGAACCAGTTCCTCTTGTCTGTAGTGTAATTATTACACTAACTCCAGCAAAGCAAATGTATAGCTAACTTAAACAAAGGATTCTTAAAGTTCTTAACAGCTGTTGGAGCCACTGCCCTAAAATACTGCTATCCATACAAATGTAGATTTTAAGTGATAACGTGAATATTGCAGTCCATTCTTACAGAGGTACATTTTTGCCAAAAAATAATCACAGAGGCAGAGCAGGGACACTCAACTTTTTTTATCCTTGCTTTCTGTTTTCTACCATTTATCACCAATTACCATGAGCGTGACAAGGTTGCTTATTGAAACAACTAGCAGATCAACTCTTAATACCTTTACCATCACTGAGCACACTAAAGCCAAGTATACACGGTATGAATTTCGGCCAGTTTCTGAGGAACCAGATGAAATTCACACAGTGGGTGCTGCTGTCGGCACCCTTCCATCTGGTATCTCTCGATCAGCTTATTTGTTTTCCAACCAGCACCTTCAATCAGCTGCTAGCTCTGTTTAGGTATCCCGACAGTGGCGGCAGGCACTGTTGGAATACAGAGCAAACAGCGGGGGATTTGTCCATCAATTCTTGTAAGCGCTGACTGAGGAATCTGTTATATTTTCTGCATTCAGCCTGCAGTTTGAACGAAGAAAATATAAGCAAGTATACCTGGCTTAAAAGGAGAACTATGAGGTGAGTGAAAATCACTCATCCTCATAGTTCGAGCCGACGTGTGACAATGAAACTGTCACACGTCGGCTCAAAGATCGGGAAGTGAGCGAACACATACGGTCGCTCGCTCACTTCTCAATCATCTCCCTGCAGAGAGCCGTGACTGTCAGTCACCACTCTCCACAGGGATCCCCGCTCCGATCCTCCAGCACTGACAGGAGGAACAGACGGGGAGGGGGCGGGTACAGCTGGCTCTGCCTCAAGATAGGCAGAGCCAGCTGTCACTCACGCAGCTGGGTGGATCTCGACAGCATTGTCGGTATCCGTCCCGGCTGCGGCGGTCTCAGCATACCGCGAGCTGTAGCTTACGGTTATACTGAGCTTTGAGTCACGAGAGGAGGTTGGTATATGTCCTCCCGTGACCCTTAAGAGAACAATGGGGCAAAACACTTACCCCATAGTTCTCTTTTATGGCCCACATAATTTAGCAAACAGGCTACCAGTGGTTTAGCAACAGTAGCTACAATGGACACAACAATGTCTGGTTGACCCCTTAGCCCTACATAACTGCTTACTAAACATCCCTTTCCCAACATGTTTTTTCTTTCCTTTCCAAAGCTGGCTGTAAACTGGTAGATTTTCATATGCACATTCATAGGAATAATCTTGTCTGAACACTCGATAAAGCCATTGGAAGTCTTGTAGAAACTTGTACAACATTTTTGGTTGATTTTAACATTTGATTCTGGAATAAAAGAGTTTCCTAAACAAAAATGAGAATTTCATTTGTTTGTTGGAAAAAATGTCCATCCTGCTCCTTTGTTTCTTGGTCACTATAGCTGAAAACGATCATCAATTTGACCTGTTAAAAAGTTAAAACGAATGTTCCAAAAAACTATTTTTTCAAACAAAATTCTACCGTGTACGGCCAGCTTTACTTTCCAACCACAGACAGGGGTTAAGTATAGTGTAATGCCAGGGCTCAAGCACAGGGGCAAGTAGAAGTGCCTCCAAAATCAGTGCCACTCTCACTACAAAAAATACATCACTGCTCTACAGAATATAACACAAGGAAATATGGCACAATCTAAATAAAGAAAAATGAGAAGTGGGGATGAAGGGAAGAAAAAAAAACTAAAAATGAAACAAACAAGACTTAGGCCCCGTTCACACCAGGGTGGTTGCGGATCAGCGTGGTTTCTGCACAGATTCTAAAAGGGCCGCTTTGAGTGTTTTTAATTGCGTTTCAGCGCTGAAACGCAATTACAAACGCCCATTTAAGCACAGTTCCTTTGAAAACTTTATGGAAACCGCACTGATCAGCACAGCAAAAAAGGGTCAGGGACCAATTCGGGCGGGAGGCGGTTCGCAATGTATGGGATTGTTCATGTCAGCGGATCTGCGTGGCCAAATCCTCATGAACGGGGGCCTCACTATTAAATTCAATATCCTGCACAGCGATCATGAAAATCTGTGCATTTAAAAATAATATACAATGCTTGGCTGTCTTCAATCAATACTATACAACCCTCGACTTAAAACATGGCGCCTTGTACTCATGTCTGCTATAGCTTGTCTGCTCTTCCTGTTAAAATAACAAAACGTCAATACCCAACTCATTAGATTTTATAGTGGAGTATTTTTCTCTTTTTACCATGACAGTTTTCCACCTGCCTGACATGGTTTTCTTTTACAATTACAGATATATTAACTTCACGTGGATTAAATGCTAATAACCACTGGGACTCATGCATCCCCGTGTGCCCCTGGCAACTCCAACAGAAACCTGAATTTCTTACTACATTTTACTGGCACTGGCTTTTCCTTTAAACCCACAGACCCTTCCAGCTAATAAAAGTATTATTACATTTGGTAACAGCAAAGTATGTTAACACTGATGAAAATAGCAGTGCCTTTGGCTACATTCAAATAACGTCTGCACACAAAACACAAAGGATTTCAACATTTTCTATGGTTAGTCAGGTTGGGAAAACTGTAAAACAAGAGGAGTTCTAGAAAGCTCATGTCTATAGGTTTATAAAGGAGTAACAGAGCAATCTGCACTCTTATCTTACAACCCTGTGGTTTAAGACACTATTTGCCTGGAGTTTGTACAATATGCGCTCCCTGCGTCTGCATGGGAGAGCCTCTTGTTACTGCCTACAATCCTTGGACTCTTTCGGTTTCAATATGGCTTTGCTGCTTCTCTTTCACACAAGAGACTATTAGGTAATACACTGCTGACCACCAGGAATTTCACTCTCTTTGGAAGGACTTCCTCACGCTTCCTGTTGTGGCTTATAGACAGGAAGTGAAGGAAAATCGGCCCAATAGGACACAGATGGGAAAAAAAACGCCGATAATGGTTATATTCCTTCCTTACTCAATCCAAAACTAAAAAAACAAAAAGTTGAGGCTTCAATTCAACTTTAGCAGAGATGGCTATCTTTCATCAAGTTAGCAGTGAGTTATGGCACTGCTCCTACTCCAACATTTGCGGTGATATGCATTACATGTGGTGCAATTGTAATTTTCCCATGTAGGGGCATCCAACGTGTGTTTGCGATTGTACATGTACGTGGGGGTGAGGCACTTTACTAAAACATTTTTGTGGTCTTTTTTTTACGTCACTTGTATTTTTAAACTTTTTGGGGGGTTTTTCTACTCAAAGCAGAAAATGTTGTTATTAACTCTTGCAGTGGGGCTACCCCCGCACTGCAAGGGTTAAGTGCTTGTTTTTGTCTAGGTGCTAAAATAAACAAAAAGTTATGCTCACCCGATCCTCAAAGCCAGCTTGCTCTTAAACTGGTAACTGGAGTCTCTCTCCTCCTCCACTCCAGCGGTCTAAGGATCCTGAGTCATCACGTTCCATACACTGTGTATAGGATGTGAGGACACCGAGGGACACACCGTCACTGCAGCGGTTAGGGAGAAAGGCTTCAGGAAGCGAAGTAGCAGTCAGCTGGCTTTGTTGTTCAGGAGTGCATATTTTTTTTTTTTTTTTTAGCACCGAGACAAAAACAAGCACTTAACCCTTACAGTGCGGGGGTAGCCCCATTGCAAGGGTTAAAAATATTTTTGCCCAGAGTTCTGCTTTAGCTTTATTGCTATCATATATCACAAACATTCTGGAGCCTGAATACGCCTGGGAAAACCTGACAGATAAAATAGTTCCAAAATTGCCTGTAAGCACTCATGCGTGAATGTCGGTTCAAGGTACCCATAGACATGAGACGACGGTCCCCAATCCAACCACCTATATATGGATTCTGGGGTTGATATAGTGAGTTGGCACTATGAGTAGGCCATGGAGGTGTTTGCAGTCTACCTCCCGCAACCTTCTGCTTGCACTAATGTAAAGAGAGTCGTCCCAAGTCAGCTAATAAACAC